GAGAGAGAGAGAGAGAGAGCGCCAGGAGCTGTGGCGGCACGTTGCTCTCTACAGCACTACCGCACGCCTCCTCTCACTCTCTCCGGTAGTAGAGCCTCTCCACGCCGCTGCTCCGTCACCGGTAGCCGGCCTGTGAGTCTGGAGGCTCTCCGGTACCGAGACAAACCAACACCACCATCCTTCCTCCCCCCTTTCTCTCCACACTCCTCCTCCTCCTCTTCTGGCTCCGCTTCTGCTGCAGCGTCCACGTTCAGGTGAGCCTCGTCCCCGGAACAAACAAGTCCTCTCTCCGGCACCGGCACCGGGTGATCGCTCGCTCCTTCCCGTTAAATGTGATGTTATAAATGGGCCGCGCAGGCTGTGAAGCCTCGCCAGAAGAAGCAGCAGGATGGAGGCTAAACCCGGATCGTGTGAGGCGGGGCTGCTGCTCCTGCTGGGCTTCTCTCCTCCGTTCATGCCGGTGAGTTTCACCACAGGTTGATGGGCGATCATTGTGATCAACATGCTGCCGGGAGGTAGTATTGGTGTATGACAGCTGTCTGATCATGCATACAGTAAAGTGCAGCTGATGTTTGTGACATTGTTATGGATGTGTCAGCTTCTACATTTGCATCAGCTAAAGGCAATAAGCTTGCAAAGGCTAAACATGGCTGACACAAGTTAGTATCTGTGTCATGAGTTATAAGCTAATATGCTATTTGCAAGTTCTCCTCCCCAGTTTGGAGAATATTTCTGGAAACACTGGTCATTTTGATAAACCATCTTTGTTGTAGCCCTCACTGTGATTGGTTGATGGAAGTTCTTGAAATAATTGAATACACTGGCAAATGTGCACTTAAATAAAGATAATAGGGTGTTAAAACTACACAAAGGTGAACAAAGTGTTGCTTTTTGCTTTATTGATTTGTTTTGATTGTCTGAAAAAATAACCTGTGCTTATTTTGAAAATCGATTAACCTTCCTAGTCATTTTACATGCAAAATATGCCAAACATTTAAAGGTTCAACCTACAGGCCTTTCATGTTAATTATGTCCCAGCAATAATTACGATACAATTATTTCTGTACCTTTTTATGCCACTTATGATACTTAGCATAATGATCCAGGTACACACTAACCCTAACTCTAAACAATATACTTTTTTAAATTGGAATTGCAATGTCAAAATATTCAAAAGAATGTAGAATTTAACCAAGTTATGTCCATTATATCGTACGAAAAGCAGATAACGTGAGAAATATTGTGTATCTGTAAAAAGGTACGATTACTCAACGTAAAAATGATCAGGGCCAAGTCTATCATAGGATAAGAAAATAAAGTATATAAAAGCGTATAATCCAGCATTAGCCTTACATAATTTAATATACTTGGCTCTCAGACTCTTGGTTGAAAAACAAGACATTTAAAGCTGTCACCTTCTCGATTTATCAAGACAACAATCTATGTGTTGCCTTGTCCAAAATCCCTCAGCTTCAACAACCACCAAAGCCCTGAAGCAATACGACACAGTAATGAATTTAACGAGGATGAGCTCTTCCCATTCAGATCCCTAAATACAGCACAGATCTAATCATCGTATGTTATGCATGGTGGATATGGTTCCTCGTCTATCTTTCATGCTGTTGCATAATTTTTACCTGCAGCGTCTTACAGCAAGAAGAGCATTCATCCCCTTCGTAAGATCTTGGTTACACCGCGTCCCGCTGATAAGCTGAGAGATGACAGATAGGCCTTTGAAAAACCCAAATCCTGGCGATAAGATCACGTGGGATTTATCTCACCTCCACAGATTTGATTTTTGGCTTCCTGAATCTGGAGATGAAATGTAGTTTTGGGAGATTCTGCAGCCAGCCCTTAGCTCTTTGGCAGCAAATTGCCTTAAGAATGGATGGGAACCCCTCTCTGTGTTGTTTCTGTGGGTGTGTGCAAGTGCTGGGAGATATAAAGCTTGTCAAACAGGGAGTCATAGCAATGTATCACACACATACTCTGCATCAACAAACACAGCCTTCGAGAGCCCAACTGAAAGAGTTTGGCCCCTTACTAAAACATGTCATTTGCCAACACCATGTAACAGTCCAGCTTTCTCTGCTATGACTGTGTTAGCATTGGGCATTGACACATAGTGTACATTCTTCTTCCTGTACATTATTTGAGTCTGGGAACAGTTGTTGGAGGCCGCGTGTTCAATATTTGCAGAAGTGTGACAATATGACAATCTAATTTGCAAAACGACTGCAGTTCCTGCTTGTGTAATCCGGCGGGTAAACAGAGAGGAGGGGAGACAGAGGAGCATAATGGGATCACACTGAGACACAGACTCTTTAATGGAGAGGAGACGGTAACATGTGGACATGAGAGAGGTCAAATGATTGAAGTGAGACAATGCAACTTATGATGTTATAGCCTCTTATAAATAAAAAGCATTAGGCCTAAATGTAAAAGCCAGGAGTCTTTAGCGGCTAACGTTAGCAAAGTCTAAAAATATATTTCTGTTAGGTCTTCATCAAATATCATGATATTTTTTACCATATACATGGACAACGATATTGCCACTATATTGTAGGTATTTGTGCTTTCATAACATATTCACAAAATGATTTTTTTGATAGATAAATATAAATAATGATAATAAAAATATGATTAATGACTTAGTGAGTAAAGATGAATAATACATATTAGAAAACTTCATCACTTTAATTTAAGCAGTGTTTACAAAGGGGAAAAGACAACATTTATGCCATATTACAATATCAAAATACAGGTTGATATCTTATATCACAATATCAATATAGTATTCATTTATTGACAATCTTTAATTTCTGTGCATGGGATTTGCTCTCCCTTTTGATTTAAAATGAGCCACTAAACCGAGAAAAATATGAATATGTAATGTATAAATAAATATTCAATGAGCAACTTGTGCTTGTTGTTTGCTTTGTTTGCAGATAATAATGCCACTAAGCCGTCTGATGTAATGTGTAGAAGCTGTACACCATACTGTAAATAGCAAGAAAGGTTGATGATAAAGGAAATGCAACTGCCTTTCAATAACCACACATTTAACGTCAACTTACTACCTGTCCTAGGACTTAATAGTGGGGTAAGTAAGTTAGAGAAACCGGCTCGAGATACACTTTTTGTTATATTCCATGGAATGCTCTTAACATCCCGATAGCAATGAATATCTTAAAGTGCTTTGACAAAAAATCCATACAAAAATATCGTCTGTGGAAGCCGTAGTACTGTAAAAAGCACGACCAATCATCTGAGCCGGCTAAAGTAACTGGATGGCCTACCTGCCTGTCAGCCTTCCCAAACTTATCTCGTGCCCTCATTGGTCATGTGCGCGTTCGTGTGTGTTGGAGGAGGGGCTCTGTACGGAAGTAGCAGATTTCTTCCGGTTGTGTATTTTCAAATTCTAGCGCACTCGAGTTGGGTTCTCCAAAAGTACCTACCCCACCTTTAAGTGTTAGTTCTTTTTTTTAAGGGAACCTCAAACTACTGATTTGGGTAATTTCCCAAAAGGATTTAACAAAAGCGCAACAATCCTACACAATAAAACAAAAATAAACCAGGTTATTCTCAAAGCACCCACAGAGTAAATTGCACCCCTATGGGCGTGTTAGTGTTGTAGAATCATTAGTGCAGTATTGGTTGTGAATCAGACCTCGGCTGCAATCCATTTTCCATGAATTCACAAATCATTTTTCCAACTTAATGACTCTAATCTAGTTTTGCTAATGTTACTCTTCGAGTGGAGGTTCTGCTTAATATATTTTAAACGTGCAATAAGTGATTTGTTTGCCACCTGGGGGCAACAGAAAATAGTTGTAAAAATCACATTATCGATTATCACCTAATAAAGTTGATGGAGAACATAGCAAACAGTTGCCGATGTACATATTCAGTATTCAGTTGGAGTTGTTTGTCTAGCCCCCTGATGAATGTAGGGTGATTATTCATGTCTTTCTAAATTTGTTTTGGTCTCTACCGACTCCAAAAGGTAAAAATCTGATTTATAGCTGCTAAATCCTCGACTATGTTGATCTGATAGCGGCTACTTTGTCTGTCATATGAATGTTACGGGGGCAGTTAAAAGTGCAATCAGTTTATGAGATGCTTTCTGTATGTATGTGCTTGTCCTCTTGAAGTATTTAGAGCACTGAAAATAATAAAAGCACATTTCAGTGTGAATCCCAGGTGAATGTGTGCATACGAAGAGGCATGTGTGTGTTCTGTTGCTTTCTTACTCCCATGTTGCTTTAAGAAGTCAGCATCGTGGAAAATTAAACCCTAGCTTCGTTCATAGGAGGGCTAACAACACCAATACTTTGTCACACACACACACACACACACACACACACACACACACACACACACACACACACACACACACACACACACACAATCGGTGTTTCTCCTACACTCTGTGATCCCTTTACAGTTAATGAGGGAGAAAGTGAAGCGAGTCGGTAATTTAATCAATTATACTTAATCTCCTGATCAACTGAAAATCGCATTGCATTCTGGGATGTGAGGTTCGTTTTTTCAGCCCAATATATCCCCAGGAGTCACACTCTAATGAGATGCGCGGGAGAAAGAAAAGTGAGAGGAGAGAGGGAGGTAAAGATAGGACTGTGTGTGTGTGGGTGTGTGTGTGTGTGTGTGTGTGTGTGTGTGTGTGTGTGTGTGTGTGTGTGTGTGGGTGTGTGTGTGTGTGAGGAAATCAGATGAGAAAGAGAACACCAAGAGACCTGTGTGTGGTTAATTAGGCCTGGTATTAATGAAAGCAGAGAGATTAATCTGTAGGAGGTGAAGAGGTGATTTAAGAGGAGGCGGGACTAAAGAGTAAGAGGAGAACAAGTTCAAAGAGAGATGAAGAGGAGAAGTGTGTCTTCAGGTGTACATTTTAGCATCTCCTGCTGTATGTATTACAAGGTGTGACGGCAGAATATTAATGACCTGTCCTCCTGTGGCCATGCTGCGTGTGTGTGTGTGTGTTTGTTTGCGTGTGTTTGTCAGACACCCTGCTGTCAGCTCCACTCAATGTGACCATCACAGACATTGAGGTAAACTCCGCCATGGTCACGTGGGAGATCTCGGAGGGGGACCCTGTCATTGGATTCGCCATCACCCAACAGGTACCTCCATGTGTCCGTCATGTGACAGAAAGTTTGAGGCTAAAGCAAAGAAACTGCATGAGAGGGAAGGGAGGGCAGTGGTCGTGAAACAGAGCTCAGGAGAGATATTAAGGTACATAAAAAAACATTAGTTAAAGAGGTCCTATTATGCTGTTGGGTGTTTTCCATTTCCTGTAGTGTGTTGTATTGGTTTTTGTGCATTTAAATGGTCTGTAAAGTCTAAAATCCCAAAGCTCCCGCCAGAAGGATATTCTCTCCTAATGACATCACTATGTGTCAGTTTTTATAATTGTTATGCTATGACGTTTGTATATGTTTGCTTTGTACAGCCCTTTGAGGCATTTTTGTGATTTGGGGCTATAATAAATGTTGATTTGATTTGTAACACTCATGCTTCTATTGGCTAGCGCTCTAACACATAGTATGTGATAGGCTAAGAGGCGGGACATCTCTAAGCAGTTGACCAATCACAACAGAGCCGGCCAGCTAACCAATCAGAGCAGACTGGGCTCTGGTTTCAGACAGAGGGTGAAAAGAGGTGCTGCAGCACAGGCAGTATGAGAACAATAAAGAGCTTTTCGGACATTAAAAACTCAGGACATAATGTAATCCAGTGAAAGATGACCTTTTAAATTAATAGACAATTCAGCATACTTTGAATGTCACCAATTAACCAAAATGTTAAGACATATTGGCTAAACAAACACGGCTCTGTGTAATTGTAGCCCTCAAACTGAACCCACATCATATGTCTGCTCACATCCCCAAAGTATTCTGGGATCTTGAGTTCCAAAACATAGAGCATGATCACCCCCCAAATAAGCTAAGTAACTAAGTAAGAGAACAAATAATAATATTGTGACAAAAATGCATAAATTAAATGTTTCATGTTGCACTACAATATTATGTTTCTTACATCAATAGGGTCCAGTGTGTCCTATCACAGTGAGGGGATGTAGGCCTTTGAATAGCCCTGGTTTAAATGAAATAGACACAGACAAAATAGTGAGGCCAACAAGTTGTGGATACTCTCTAAATGTACAAATGTTCCATTAGAAGAATTCTTCGTTAATTAAAAAAGCCCACAAGGACATTTACTTTGGTCTATCAGGATCCAGTTGACCTGAGCAAGCAGAGTAGCTGGTAATAATGTTCATTTCAAGCAGATCGGCTGCTTGAAATGAACGGCCAGAGACACACTCTGTTTCCCTTCGCTTAATTACACTGCAGAACAATTCCCCTGGGGATTTATTCAGCGTTTAACTGTTAACTGTTATCCAAGAGAGACGTGTTTGCATTTGCACCTTATCAGTCCCTCACCGGAGGGCAGCTTCTGTCGACAGCAGACAAATCTGACCCTGGCTCCAGAAATCCACATTTGATATGCAAGGTAGCGGAAACACTATTTTATAATGCCTTGAAGGAGCATGGAGCTGAACCTGTGACTTAAGTTAAAGGGGACCTATTATGCAAAACCCACTTGTTCATGTCTTTTATACATACCATGTGTCCCCTCTTCTTCATGTCTCTTCTACATCACATGTGTCCCTCTTCTTCAGTCTCTTCTACATCAACATGTGTCCCCTCTTCTTCATGTCTCTTCTACATCAACGGTGTCCCTCTTCTTCATGTCTCTTCTACATCACCATGTGTCCCTCTTCTTCATGTCTCTCTACATCAACATGTGTCCCCTATTCTTCATGTCTCTTCTACATCAACATGTGTCCCTCTTCTTCATGTCTCTTCTACATCAACATGTGTCCCCTCTTCTTCATGTCTCTTCACATCACCATGTGTCCCCTCTTCTTCATGTCTCTTCTACATCAACATGTGTCCCCTCTTCTTCATGTCTCTTCTACATCACCATGTGTCCCCTCTTCTTCAGTCTCTTCTACATCAACATGTGTCCCCTTCTTCATGTCTCTCTACATCAACATGTGTCCCCTCTTCTTCATGTCTCTTCTACATCAACATGTGTCCCCTCTTCTTCATGTCTCTTCTACATCAACATGTGTCCCTCTTCTTCATGTCTCTTCTACATCAATGTGTCCCCTCTTCTTCATGTCTCTTCTATCAACATGTGTCCCCTCTTCTTCATGTCTCTTCTACATCAACATGTGTCCTCTTCTTCATGTCTTCTACATCAACATGTGTCCTCTCTTCTTCATGTCTTTCTACATCAAACATGTGTCCCCTTCTCTCATGTCTCTTCTACATCAACATGTGTCCCCTCTTCTTCATGTCTCTTCTACATCAACATGTGTCCCCTCTTCTTCATGTCTCTTCTACATCAACATGTGTCCCCTCTTCGTCATGTCTCTTCTACATCAACATGTGTCCCCTCTTCTTCATGTCTCTTCTACATCAACATGTGTCCTCTCTTCTTCATGTCTCTCTACATCAACATGTGTCCCCTTCTTCTTCATGTCTCTTCTACATCAACATGTGTCCTCTCTTCTTCATGTCTCTTCTCTTCTACATCAACATGTGTCCCTCTTCTTCATGCTCTTCTACATCAACAGTGTCCTCTCTTCTTCATGTCTCTTCTACATCAACATGTGTCCCCTCTTCTTCATGTCTCTCTACATCAACATGTGTCCCTCTTCTTCATGTCTCTTCTACATCAAAATGTGTCCCTCTTCTTCATGTCTCTTCTACATCAACATGTGTCCCCTCTTCTTCATGTCTCTTCTACATCAACATGTGTCCTCTCTTCTTCATGTCTCTTCTACATCAACATGTGTCCCTCTTCTTCATGTCTCTTCTACATCAACATGTGTCCCCTCTTCTTCATGTCTCTTCTACATCAACATGTGTCCCCTCTTCTTCATGTCTCTTCTACATCAACATGTGTCCCCTCTTCTTCATGTCTCTTCTACATCAACATGTGTCCCCTCTTCTCATGTCTCTTCTACATCAAACAGTGTCCCTCTGTGGGAAGAGACTCTGAAAGTTTCAGGAACAAAGATTCTCTCTCTTTTTGATCTATTTCTATAAAAACCTGTCTGAAAATGAGCTGATCAGATTTTGGCCACTTCATGATGTCATAACAATGTTTTGTCTTGTGTAACCATTAGCCAATCAGCAACCAAGGTAACCCACCCCCCCCCCACCCTTATCACCTGAATCTCCTCCTAGAGCACCATTGTGTTCTTTGTAACCAAATCTCTCTCAGAGGGGCGTGGGGAGGGGCTCCTTATTTTCATCTAAAGTAACAGACAGAGAATCAGCACTTTGGAAACAGGGCTGAAACAGAGGGGGTTATGGGTAATGCTGCAATGATCTGTTTGGTGTTTCAGCCAGTCAGAGACATGTTCTATATAAATCTGAGACCTATAATATATTGATGAAAAACAGTATAATAGGGGACCTTTAAAGTAATGCAGAGCTTGATTGCAGATATTGCTACTCAGTATAATCTCTCCATGTCAAAGAGTTAACGGTTCCTGCAGGATTCTGTTCGGGGCACGTTGGAAATAAACTTCTAAAACCTTTATAATTTAGTATGATGTGTTAATACAGTCAGAAAGTGTGCTTGATGCACCAGTTTAACCCTGACCTTTGACCTCTCCACTGAGTTGCTGCCAAAAGAAAAGAGGATTTCTCATCTCATTACATTACAACGAATGCGCTGGCCCTGATTACTTTTCCTCTGCCCTTCTGTTCCCTGCCTTTCTGCAGAAGAAGGATGCTCGCATGCTGAGGTTCATCCAGGAAGTCAACACCACCACGCGCTCCTGTGCTCTGTGGGATCTGGATGAGGACACAGAGTACTTCGTCCATGTTCAGAGCATCAGCATGGGAGGCAGCAGCCCCCCTAGTGAACCCTTCCTCTTCAGAACGCCAAAAGAGTCGGAGAAGCAGGCGTCCAAAAGCCCAGGTGAGGGACCAGAACACACTTCTTTCACTTTTTACCTGTTTATCTCTGAAGTTACCTGTGGTTTACCGACACAACATCTAAGCATTACATTAATGTTAAGGGCAGAAGTGGGAAGTGGTGGAGTACAAATACTTAGTTACTGTACTTAAGTACATTTTTCTGGTATCAGTACTTTACTCCACTACTTATTTTTCTGATTACTTTTTACTTTCACTTCTTACAATTTGAACACAAAAACCTGTACTTTCTACTTCTCACATGTTGAACCCAAACACCTGTACTTTCTACTTCTTACATGTTGAACACAAATACCTGTACTTTCTACTTCTTACATGTTGAACACAAATACCTGTACTTTCTACTTCTTACATGTTGAACACAAATACCTGTACTTTCTACTTCTTACATGTTGAACACAAATACCTGTACTTTCTACTTCTTACATGTTGAACACAAATACCTGTACTTTCTACTTCTTACATGTTGAACCCAAATACCTGTACTTTCTACTTCTTACATGTTGAACACAAATACCTGTACTTTCACTTCTCACATGTTGAACACAATACCTGTACTTTCTACTTCTCACATGTTGAACTCAAATACCTGTACTTTCTACTTCTTACATGTTGAACACAAATACCTGTACTTTCTACTTCTTACATGTTGAACACAAATACCTGTACTTTCTACTTCTTACATGTTGAACCCAAATACCTGTACTTTCTACTTCTTACATGTTGAACACAAATACCTGTACTTTCTACTTCTTACATGTTGAACACAAATACCTGTACTTTCTACTCTTACATGTTGAACACAAATACCTGTACTTTCTACTTCTTACATGTTGACTCAAATACCTGTACTTTCTACTTCTTACATTTTTGAACCCAAACACCTGTACTTTCTACTTCTTACATGTTGAACACAAATACCTGTACTTTCTACTACTTACTACATGTTGAACACAAATACCTGTACTTTCTACTTCCTTACATGTTGAACACAAATACCTGTACTTTCTACTTCTTACATGTTGAACACAAATACCTGTACTTTCTACTTCTTACATGTTGAACACAAATACCTGTACTTTCTACTTCTTACATGTTGAACACAAATACCGTGTACTTTCTACTTCTTACATGTTGAACTCAAATACCTGTACTTTCACTTCTCACATGTTGAACACAAATACCTGTACTTTCTACTTCTTACATGTTGAACTTCAAATACCTGTACTTTCTACTTCTTACATGTTGAACTCAAATACCTGTACTTTCTACTTCTTACATGTTGAACCCAATACCTGTACTTTCTACTTCTCTCATTTTCCAAACAGCTGGTTCCTTTAGTCTGAATGTGTGTTTGATGCGTGATCATTATTCTTTAGAGTCATTGCGTGCCTATTGATTTGAACACGATCCGTGTATCCATCATTTCCTGGTCTTCTCTAAAGAAGAGGGACCAATGGAAACGTTGTCATGTTGCCGTTGTTCAGCATGGAAATATTCATTAGCTAACAATGACATTATCGTTCTATTAATATAAAGGGAGGTCAGGTACTCTTTAAAACAGCTGCTAGTTATGGGTACTTTTTACTGAAGTACATTTCAAAGCCTCTTTACTTTTACTTGAGTGAAGAAGTTTAGTCAGTACTTCTACTTTTACCAGAGTATTTTTAAACACGAGTATCTGTACTTCTACTTGAGTAAAGGATGTGTGTACTTTTGCCATCTCTGGTTAAGGCAGTGGTTCTCAAACTTTTTCTGTCAGGCCCCCCCCTTTGGAGAAAAAAAAATGTCGGGCCCCCCCAACACAAATCAGGCTCAGTGGCGGCGCCAGAGATTGATTTTGGGGGTGCTGTGGGGTAGCTTGACGTTTCATAGAGGGTGCTCAAACATTTAGGGTTTCCCATTAATGTACCGGGCGCTACAGTGGAATGTTCTACTGCAACAATCCCCACGCATATACACAATGTACCCGCGACTTTTACAATGAAGGCTCGATAATCAGCTCACGGCATATAGGTGTAAGCAGGGGTCAAGTGCTATTTTTATAGGTGGTGTGTGGACCTCACATAGGGGGATTTTTAAATATTGAAGTTAAAAGTATCAATCTGGTGCACTTTGAGAGCAAAATGAAGAGATCTATGGATACATCTCTCAACACCCATTTGAAACAGAACTGTTAACAGATTTACTATTTCTTTATGGATATTTTTACAAATCACTCCCCTTTTAAACTTTATTCTTTTTTTTAATGTCATATAGTATTTCATACCTGTTTTTAATGTATTCTCTTATTTTTTTATAACTATAATGATCATATAAATGTGTGCCTCGGAAATAATTGTTTACATTAATGGTGACCAAAACGTTTGAGACCCACTGAGATAACACTGAGAGAGCCCTTTAGTTCACTGAGTCTCTCAGTCTGACAGGAGAGGACTCTCCTCCACTTTGTTGTTGAAAAAACTCCTTATATCCGTTAGCGTAGCTCGCTAGCACCAGAAGCTAACAACAACGATCTCCGGCACCGGTGCGCTCTCTCTCTCTCGCGCACACACACAAAATGGCTCGTTCCACACGCACACAGTGCCAAGCTTTAATGAAACACAGAGACCCAGACGTAATAGTACTGTATCATACTGTAATCAATAATTTTTCAAAATATGATTTTTTTCTTTTTTATCTTTTTTTTTTTTTTTAATAATAATAAAAAACATTTTTCCTCCTGGTCTCTCGCGTCATGCAGTGAGCTTTTATTCTATAAAACGTTTTTAAAATCTACTTTATAGCTTGTAATAACTCGCGGGAGGCTTCTTTTATTTTATTTGTATTCATAATCATTTTTCTTTTTCGTCAGAATGTATTATGGTGCATTAGTTACGAATTTTTGTTCACAAAAAACAGTGCATTGTGTGTAATACAACTGTGATTTGTATTAAATTAGTTAGTTTTTAAGGAAGGCCAGAGCTTCAGCTGTGTCCAATAGATTGTTCCCTTTTAGTTAACGTTTTTCAAAAGAACATTATATTCCGATTTGATCATGTCCCCTTTATTGTATTACGGAGAGCAATGTGAGCATCCATTCCCATTGGATAACGCAGATTTTACACCCGGAAGTAAGTATTCTCCTTAATGTCGATTGATTTTACAGTGATATCTGCACTACTCATCAACTCAAACACACCAGATTATCCTTGTTGATTACACAACATTGATTGGTTTAAATTGTGTACAATGCTTTTGTAATTTTCCCCTTCGATTCGGAGAAAAAATATTTGTTCAGTTTAGGATGGCCGAAGACACTACACTACCCAGAAACCTCAGCTATTGTTCCGCGTTGCCTCAAGCTCTGTGATTGGTTGACCTCCAACTGCATTCCATATTAAAAAAACGTTTCGTAAAAGATAAATCATACTTTATTCAGCAGTGCTTGCTTTACTCTTTGAAAGTCATCACATGAATGCATTGTAATAAATGGTTTGGCTGCATTAAATATTACACATCTGTCGTAGTTCTTTATTTATCTACAGAGATCTGGCCTAAAAATAGACTGGAAACTATTCTTTTACCGTTCTGTTTTAATTTCACAATAAAGTTAGTAGTAATAATTTGTTTTGATATTATTGTTTTTTATTAACTACTAGACCGCTGGGTCATGTTAAGACCATCTTTTCTGTGTTGCTGTGGGTTTTTTTTCCATCGCTTTTATGTGTTACAAATATCAAAACAATAACAGAATATATCCGTCGTAAACTAAACCAGAAACAGCAGTATATTTTATTTTGTTAACACTGTAAACTTGACAGCTTTTTAACCCAAACCACCTACTGGTTAAAGCACGTTATTACACGTTTAGAGTAATATTGAAATCTTGAAAAGGGATGTCCAAAATAGCAATTATATACAGTTTTTAATTAACTATTTGTAGAGAATAACGAGTAATGAATATACTTTATAGGGATCTGCAGATAAATATTTAGTCTTCTCAAGCACCAACAATCATTACATTACATTACATTGCATTTAGCTGACGCTTTTATCCAAAGCGACTTACAATAAGTGCGTTTGACCAACAAAATACAACCTTGAAGAAAACAGAATCATATAAGTACATCAGGTTTCATAGAGCCAAAACATTTCAAGTGCTACTCAACTGGCTTTAGATAAGCCAGTCCTCCAATCAAATATCTCTCCTGATTGTTGGCACTTGACAATCACCTTCCCTGAATTTTACTCAGGTGTAACTAAAGTCTGCTTTAAGGGTTGTTTATATTTCACATCATTAATCAGAATCTGTAAAGTAACTAAAATAAATGTAGTGGAGTAAAAATACCAGGTTAACCTTAAAGAAAGCCCTCAGGATTATAAAAGACCCCCATCACCCCAGCCACAAACTGTTCTGTCTGCTGCCGTCTGGCACAACAGCCGCATTCTAGGAGAGGATGTGGCTGTTGTGGAGGACTATAGTACCTGGGAGTGCACTTATGGACTGAACTGGAGGATCAACACTGACGCTGTGTACAAGAAGGGGATGAACAGACTGGAGATCTTCTAGTCTGTTGTGGCCAGTGCACTCTTCTTTGCTGCGGTCTGCTGGGGGGGGGGGGGGGGGGGGCAGCATCAGAGCCGGGGACACCAGCAGGATCAATAAACTGATCAGGAAAGCTGGGTCTGTCATCGGCATCAAGCTGGACCCCTTTGAAGCTGTGGTGGAGAGGAGGACACTGAACAGGCTGTTGTCCACCATGGATAACCCCACCCTTCCTCTCCACCTGCAGCTGGACAGTCAACGGAGCTCCTTCTCCAACAGACTGCTGCAGCTCCGCTGTCACAAGGACCGATACAGGAACACATTCCTGCCCCACTGCAATAACTCTGTACAATAAATCACCTCTGGCTGGAAGAGAACTCTCTGCTCCATAGTTTCTCTTGTAATACAACCTCACTGTACATTTTACACATATATAATCTGTTCAATATTTGATA